AAACGACATGACCGTGTAACAGTATAACCCCTGATCAGTGAAGAAGGCCGTCTTCTCCTGATCTTTCTTCCATAAGGGAATTTGATGGAAACCAGAATAGGCGTCCATAAAACTCATCAAGGCATGGCCGGCTGTTGAGTCGACCAGGTTATCAATTTTAGGCAGAGGGTAACTGTCTTTGGGGCACGCCTTGTTTAAGTCTGTGTAGTCTACACACATTCGCCAGGTGCCATTCGGCTTTTTAACAAGCACCACATTTGCAACCCAGTCTGGGAAGTAACATTGCCGAATGAACCCTGCATCAAGTAATTTTTTAACTTCGGCGGCTGCCGCCTGACTTCTTTCTTCGCCATGGTTCCGCTTCTTTTGCCGTACCGGCTTCTTTTTCGGATCCACGGCGAGTTTATGTACCGCCAGATCAGGACTAATGCCTGGAATTTCATGGACTTCGAATGCAAAGATGTCCTTGTATTCTTTCAATAGGTTGTGAAAGTCGTCACCAAGGTTTCTCAGAGCAGTCGTCCCAACTTTGACTGTTCGGTCAGGACGTGAGTCGTCTAAGATCAGGTCCGCATGCTCACCAGCCGGCTGAGGGCGGAACTCATCCGGCCGCTCCTCTGCCAATGATTGTTATTTTCTTGCTTTTCTTGCGGACTCTGTCTGGGACGCCTTTCTCTTTTTGCCGCCTGCTTCTTGAACAGGCGCATCCTCCTTGACATTGTCAAGGTTTGTTTTTTCACCACTTGACCCAATGGCCATAACAGTGGGCTTGACATCCGAGAGATAGCACTCTCGGGCCATCCTCTGATCTCCCCTTAGGGAGCCGACTGTTCCATTATCCCTCTCAAACTTGAGCAACATAAGAGACGGGATTATAACAGCCTTGGAATTATTCAGGGTTGGTCGACCCATAATCATGTTGTAGGCCGAGAGTTCCTCTACTACTAGGAACCGGACTACCATGTGTCGTCCTTCCCCTTTTTCGCCCAGGCGAATGGGTAAATCTACTCGTCCCAGTGGGTGGACGACTCCTCCTCCAAACCCTACTAAAGGGTGGGAGGCCGGATGTATGCAATCAGTCTGATATTTCAGTTTCGACAGACATTTGCTGCTGATGAGATCTGAGGAGCTCCCGGTATCTATGAGGATTCGGCCAACTCTCTGGTTGGCCACTTTACATTCAATAACGAGAGGGTCTTCATGCGGCCCCTTACCCCTCCTAGATCCTCTTCAGTGATGACAATCTCAGGAAATGTATATTTGGACGGCCGTTCTTGGTGAACGGAATTTACCTCTAACCACCTATGTTATCTTTGTTGCCCCTAATAGTGGGGCCGCCTCCTGAGAAGCCGCCTGCAATGGTGTAGACGACTGCATCATCTGTATCGGAGCTGTCGGCCTGTTGATTCTTTTTGGCCGACAGCTTTTTTGAGGAAGTGTTCCCCGTAGATTTCTTGACATAAGTGTCAAGATCACCTTGCTCAGCCAGGCGGTCTAGGTACCGCATAAGACTGATGCAGTCATTGGTGTGATGACCAACGTCATCATGATAAGCACAGATTTTATCTTGGTTCCGGTTGTTTGCAGAACCCTTCATGGGGACCGGCTTCTCAATTGAGATCCGTCCCTTGATTTCTTTTAGGATAAATTGGTTATCCTTGTTAAACGCATACTTTGGGGAGTATGGTTTGAATTCTTTTTTCTTTTTCTGGGCCGGCTGTTTAGAGGAATCAGCCGCCCAGACCTCTTTTCTTTTCTCATCTTTGTTAGACGACTGTTTCTGTCGTCCTTCTCTTTTGTCGAACCTTTTCCCGTCCGACTGTTTTATCGTACAAAGATCAGTCGCCTGTATATAGGCTTCTGCTTCAATCAAGGCCTCTTGAAGAGTCGCCACCCTTTTTCGAACCAAATCAAATTTGAAGGTAGACCCGTCTTTGAGACCTCTGAAAAAGTCAGTATAAGCTACCTCATCCGGTAACCCTTGAATCTGTATTCTCATCAGGTTAAACCGCCTGATGCAAGAACGAAGTCCCTCCTTATCGCCCTGCTGAATTGTTCCCAAATCAAGGGTCGTTTTCTTCGCAGGGATGTTCATGGCGAAGTTGGAGGCAAATAAGTAAGCAAGCGTCCTGAAGCTATTTACACAACCAGTCGGCAGGTTGCCGAACTATTGCTGTGCAATTCCTTTGAGAGTCGCTGGGAAACACTTGCACCAAGTGGGATCATCCAACCCTTGAAGGTACATCAGGTTGGTGAATGCCATCAGATGGTCTTCTGGGTTAGTAGTGCCGTCATAGGCGCCTACTAGTACATTTTTCACTTTGGCCGGCTGAGCGGCTTCAGTAATTTCCTTGGAGAAGGCCGACGGCTGTTCACCAAGTCTAAGCAACCGTAGCTGCCAGTCCATAGGTTGGACGTTTTTTGCTGCAGGTCCACCAAATGGAGGTGGCTGCAAAAAATACTGTTGTTGCGGCACAAATGGTAAGTTTGGTACCGCCTGGGCACTATGAAAGCCGGACTGACGGGAGGTGCCGCCTGACTGACTTTCATGGTACGACTGAGTATGCCTCATCGAGGCATTTCGCAAACTGTCTTGAAAGTTTGAAGTAGAGGCCGACTCTGACAATCGGTCACTCTTCTTCTGCTCTAGCAGTAGCCGAGCATCTGTGAATGTTTGCTTCGACCCGTCCGCCTGAATATGACGAACAGGTTTCCTATTTCCTGTAGGATAACGGAATTTTGTGAAATCAAGGGCAGGTGGCTCCCGCTTCCTAGATTTAGGATGAGGAGTCGCCTCTCGCCCTTGAACTGGCTTCCTCTTCAGTGAAGTGGAGGGTTTCTTGGCCGACTGCTCCTTAACTGGAGCAGTCGACTTCTTGTTGATCAACTCTTGAATCTCTCCCTTGAAGTCCCTCATGAAGGTCATGAGTTCGTTCCTTGTGATGGGAGCAGACCCATCAGTCGGCTGTTGCCGAACAGGCGGTGCGCCTGCTGGCTCGCTTCCTGTTTGAAGATGCTCCCGTTCCCTCCTTTCGGTATGACGGGTACGTCGGGCCCTTAGGGTCCCGTCTGAAGCTGTATGAGCTTCAACTTCAAATTCACTTTCGGTATCATGGTCCGACTGAACTTGAGGGTCGTCTAGGGGACGCCTCTCTTCAGGAGTCGGTACAAACTTGGATGCCATCTCTGAAGTACTCTCCCCACAGACGGCGCCAAATGTTTCGGGGTTTTCTGATGTCCTGCGGGAGAGTTACAATTCCGAGACTGGAACTGGACGCTTGTACCTGCAAAATAACGGAGACTCCTGTGAGCTCCGCCTCCAACGGTCAAGTTAGTACCTGATTAAGGAGTAATTAATGCGGAAATTAAAGTAATAAGGTCTCTCTAGGTGAGAGTGTTTAATGTAGGTAATTTGCTTTGTTAGCGAGATCAGCCGGTTATTAATGTGTTCCGTAATGTTTTCCGCGTCTCCCTTAATGAGGATTAAGGGAGGTATTTATAACCTTGGGAAACGTGTCCATCCTAGTTTTAGGTAAACCTAGGGCTGATTGGGCTTCCCTCGGAAGTTGGGCCTGGGTGGCCGGGTTCTCCATTAGGCATGGAGTATGCCACATGTCGTGACATAACAGGTCCAAGGTGGACGAATAAGCGCGTGCCACGTGGCAAGCCCTGACAGTTCCAACTAGGAGACACTTGGCAGGACCTGATTGGTCCACGTGGCGCACTCCGATTGGTAGGAGCAAAATCCCCTAATCACCTTCCTCCTTGAATATCCAGTCACGGTTCTGGATCACTATGGAGTAAGTGATCTCATATATGGATCGTGAAGGGGTGTAACCTTCACCCTGTGAACGGTTTACAAGTTCCTAAAACTTTTTGGCGACTCTTTTGCCCTAGCTTCCTTCCATTTGGACGCCACCATACTTAAGTGTATGATCATAGTGGGGCTCAAGTTTGGGATGCTTAGCTTGAAATATTCCCTACACAGGAGGGTTTTTACTCTTGATGTTAAAATTAATACTATGAATAAGAATGCTAGTACTTCTTCTGCTTATATTGCTGAGTCTATTGATTTATGGCATGCAAGCTTAAGATTAGGTCATGTTAATATTGATTCAATTAAAAGGCTTAAACAATTAAACTTAATCCCACAGTTTTCCAATACTGATTTTTTAAAATGTCAAATTTGTGGTGAAGCCAAGTTTTCAAAGAAATAATTTAAATATGTAGATAGGAAAACTAAAGTACAAGAGCTTGTTCATAGTGACTTTGGTGATTTTAATAATCACGAGAGTAGAGGGGGTAAAAAGTACTACATTACTTTTGTTGATAACTGCTCACGTTTCTCCATGGGAAATCGATGATAATGTTGAGGGTATTCGTATGTATGATTTCCCTCAAAGCCTTAAAACTTTGGTGGAACTTGACCTAGTAGTGCCAAGTGACATTAAACAAGCCAACTCTCATCTATCCTTGTATTTCAACATTAAGAATTAAAAAACAAGTGATTTTAAGTCCATTCATGGCTCCTTTGAGCATCTTCTTTGATATATTTCCCTAAATTCGGGCTTCTCTACTTGATCGGGTGAGAGATTCCTTGCAATTCTTTTCTCTCAAAACCCGCTATCTATCTGATTCATCTTCCCATCTCTAATATAGGTGGACAATTGCAACCACTTCTAAGTAATAGCAATCTAATAATAAATTTCAGCATGTAAAGAGCTAAAAAAAAAAAAGGTCTATTTCTCACCCGCCTCAATGTGTTCAATATGTAGAAGTTTCTGCCCTTAATTAAGAGGGGATGAAGTGGAAGTAGCAGTTTGTGGCCTTTGCTCCAGAGAACCTCAACTTGGAAATTAAAAGATAGTCTATACCAAATCTTTAAGCATGTTTGCTGTCAAGATAAATGATATTTGAGCAAAGAAATATTTTTTTGGCATTTGAAGATAATCAACATAAAGGGTCTAGCATTGTGCTATCATGGAAGAAAAAACACTTGAGGGGCAAGAATAAGACGCCATTTGATGACGAATTTAGCACTAAATAAATGAGTCTGTTAACATTATACTACAGGTACAAGTAATAGAAATACTATATCCGTCCCTTGACCAAGAATCTCCAAGCTACATAATTAGAGGCACAAAGATAATAAATTGAGCTGAATAAGGGTGTAAAGTGTGAAATTGTGATGTAGCATGGAAATTCTAGTCTACAGAGTACATTATAGTTCATTTTCTAATCACAAAGTGTAACACTATAAAATAAGTAGTATGCTAACCACTGATTTAGAATTAACCAGATATGTATGCTGCTACTTGGAAGCACCATAACTTTCTTTCACTATACACCCAGCTACAATTCTCTTACCGCATGGAGGACCAGTAGCACTCCTCTAGGCGATTTATTTACCTGCAACACCCAATTGCGTTGAATGAAGCAAGGGCCAAAGAATTTACATACTGAAATTCAATGGAAAAAAGGTACGTATGAGGAATTTCAGAAGAAAATGCAACTTTGCAAAGCCAAAAGGGCAATTACCCTTCATAAACAGTTTGTTCAAACATCACAATGTCCCCCATACAGGCATCACCTGTAAATTACCCTCTAATGTTAATCACATTGATGTATTACAATATAGATGCAAAAGCGAGAATAATAAAGAAAAACATAGGCACATCAAAATTTCTAAAATTGATACTGTGTTCATACATTCCACCCTATGACATCACAATTATAGGGCACAATATATTTTCCATCTAAATTTCATAGTACCATACTGCATAACAACTTCTTAAAGAACCTAAGCCTAATCATTTTAATGTTTTATTATTTATATCAGTCAATACTCTAGATCATTTATCTTGATCTCCTAAACTTTTTTATTCCTAGCTTGCCACATTTATCTTAAATTAAGTATCTAACACGATATTGTGCTCATACACATATGACATTACGAATTTACGATCATACAACACAAAAGATCTCTGTCTGAATTTCATACTATCACCCAACTTAAACTCTTAAAAAAGGCTAAACAAGATCATTAAGATGCTTTCCTACACATAAAACAATGGAAAACAATTTTCTTGATCTCCTAAATGTTTTGACCCTAGCTAGCTACATTTATCATGAATCCAACTCTACACTTTAGCAAACAAGACTAAATTTATCCAAATTGTTTGAAAAAAAAATCTTAAGTAGAACCCATAAGAAGGAATATAAGTGACATGAAATGTAAAGGAAATTATAGCAAGAGAGACACAACCTTAGAAAAAATTGTATCCAAAACACAATAAATCTTTCATAGTCAACTCCAGATCAAAATCCATCCAAAATTTAGTACTTCATCATCACTACTTCAATTCAATTATCAATTACAATTAATGAAATTGAAAGTAAAACTTTACACAAACTTAATAAATAAAATTAAAATCTTACAGAGTCCTAGTCGATTGAAGTGAGGTCGATATTGATTAGTGAGGCGTGGTCTCTTATATTTTTCTTCTAATCTACAACCACAAATCATAAAAAAGTCTTTTACCAAAAAATAACATATACAATCAATATTTGAAATCGAGAGAAAGAGAGAGAGAGAGAGAGAGAGAGAGAGAGAGAAAACATAAAAAAATCAATAGAAAAGAACAATACATCAACATCTTGTTCATCCTCAAGAAAGTGGAAAACAAGAAGAGGGATACAATGTGAACCTACTATGAACTTGACCAAAAGAAAAGGGAGGGATGCCTAGCTGTGTATACGACGAGAGAGGACTCACTTGATGTGCCTCATTTTGAAGTCGCGTTATCTTTTAATACAATCTCAGATGCGTTAACAGGAGGTGATAAAGATGGCATTGTGGCTATTGTGTTCAGATTAGTTCCACCTGGTACTTTGGCAGGGTAAACTTCCATTATTTCTTCACTCCTCTCATTTAAATAAACAACAGTCTGCATGGTGAGCTGATGATATTCAACAACCTCAGGTGAAAAGCGATTCTCACGAGTATAGAAAGCATTCTCTTAAGCCGACCGAGCCTTATCTGCCAAAAGTGATTCCAATTGGAGTCATTTTTGAATGTAAATCCAAGAGTCAAATAATCTTACTGATAATCTGGTAGGAAATACTTTGATTGAATGGTAATTATAGCTTTCTTCCTCTAGCTCAGCACACCGCTCCTTGGCAAATTTTCACATAAATCGATGAAATTGAAACCAAAAACTAATCAATCGAGTGAAACAATTTTTTTAAAACCTAAATCTACTAATCTACTTGCATCCATAAAAATCGATGTAGTAACTCGGATCAAACAACATTAAAAAAAATCCAAAGCTACATTCCTCAAATCCATATTTGTCAAAAACAACCTCAAATGACATTGAAAGAATAAACTAATCTGAAAAGAAAATCACAGGGAGAAGAAATGAGGCATTCCATTTTGGTGCCATATTCCGAATTCAACCAAACTCCATCTATTTGCTTGCATGCCTATTCCGACTTTCATCACATGAATTAGACTGAATTGCTCCTGATAAGATACAAACCAAAAGCAAAACTCATCATAAACCCTAAATCAATAAAAATTGAGAAACTAAAAACAAAATTAAACTAATCAATTAGGTAATCTATAAAAATCATCAGAAATCCTAAATCAAACTCAAAATTAAAACACCTAAATCCTAACTATTTTATAAAACAAAAATAAAACACCAGAAAAATCAAAAGAATTTTAAAGTCCTATACACAATAAAAAATTTCAAATCATAGAAAAGGGAGAAGAATTAAAACCCTCTTGCTATTTTAGAAGTCTCGTCATCTTGCTGCAAACCAAAAAAAAATCAACAAAATAAAAAACATAAAAAAAAACCCTACCTTTTGCACAATATCCAAATCATGTTCAATCAAAACCACTATAATCAACCAAATTCATAAATTAATGTTAAATGAGTGATAATGAGCTGCGATATAACAAACCAGGAGAGAGAAACAGAAAGCTGAGCTCGATTACTGAGGAGAGAGAAAGAGTTCGCTGGAAACTACGATCGACGGTGGAAGAACCGAGGTTAGAAGCCGTTTCCATTAGAGAAGTCACATAGCTACTACTCAAAAACGATAATCGATAATGAAAATTGAAAGAAACAACAAATTTACAAAAGAAAAAGAGAGCAGAACTCAAAAGCAAAAATTATGGAGACATATCAAAATTTTACAAGAAATTAGGGTAAATCAAAGAACTCACCTTGAGGAGAGAGAAGAACCAAATTGCAAACTGATCATAATCTGAAGACTAAGGAGAGAGAGGTTGAAAAGTGACGAGGAAAAGAAAAACAACACTGTTCACAAGGAAAATGAAAAGAATGGTGTCCATCGAAGTGTGTATTATTCTGATACTGGATTCAGAATTATTAGAAAGCTAATATATTCAGTAAGGTCAAGTGATCAAAATGCTTAGGAGGAGGCCGCTTTCGATTAGTAATATTAATGTATCGAAAAATATTGTGTAGAACGGACTCATGTGAGTCCGTTCTATTAACTGGCCCGCGCTCGGCCCATTTATTAAAGTTCAGCTAGCGCGCGGCCCGAACCTTAAATAGCCTTTTTTTCAAACACATCCATCGTTCCGCCTTCCTCCTCCTTCTTCTCACCCACGTTTTCTGCATGTTCACTCCATTTTTATCAGTTACATTCCATTACTATCGACTTAATTTCACATTTCCAAATAATTCGCATAACTACTTCATTTTTTAGCTTTAATTATATTTGAATGAATTTAATTTTTACGTCTTCATCATAAACCCTAACATTCGTTATTTTTAACTCAATTAATGTCTACCATTTTGTCGATTAAAGATTCTTCTCCCTTAAAAGTTTATCACAAACGAAGTAAACAAGCTCGAAAAAAGGAGAATACATTTGCAATGGCTGAAAGGTTTATTATACTTCAGTTATTTTTTAGGTTATACTGTTTTTTTAAAAAAATCATTTTTATACCTTATTATTTCGTTTTGTAGGGTCGATTCAAAACAACCATTGAAGAAGTGTGGTCCTAAACCTGGGTCTAAACGAAGTCGACCTGTTAGGTGTGAAATTCTATTCTATTTATTTCGCAAAAAGACATATCATTTTGTATTTGTTGTTTCATATTAAATATTTTTTCTTAGGAAATAAACATACATATCTGGTTATTATATTGTAATTTGGTAATAGATTATATTTGTCAAGATTATCTTTTCTTATTTTGCCCTTTTTTATGGATATGGTTGTTTCACTATTCATCATGCTATATTATGATGTAAATATTTATGATTTTTGCATTTAATATTTTTAAGTGAGGAATAAGATTATTATTTTCACGAATTACATTTTATTAGCCAGGAATTAGGATGGTTTAGTCAGATATTAGATAGTTTACTTAAGGAATTGGTGTATTCAAGTCAGACATATATAATTTTAAAAGTTAGAAATTATCAAGTTTTAGTCAGATATTAGCTTACTTATATCATGAATTGATCTATGTTTATCATTCATAAAAAACTAAAATAATCAATTGATGATGTCAATGGTTACAGTTTTGTATTTAACAATTTTAAGCCAGAAATAAGATTATTATAATCAGGAATTAGTTTGCTTTCTTCATATATTAGATAATTTAATTAAGTTCTTGGTGTATTTTAGTCTGGCATAACATTCTAAATTTAATGAATTAGCAAGTTAAAGTCTGAATTAAGAGTAATATAATCAGGAATTAGAATGGTTAGAAAATATATCTCAGGCTTTGGTGTATTTTAGTCAGGAATAATAATTTAAACGTCAGCAATTAGCACGCTTTAGTCAGATATTAGATAACTTTTATCAATTATTAGTCTTTCATTTTACTCAGACTGGTTTTAGTACTTTGTGATTTGCATAAAGATTTTTATAATAAAGATATGTTTATTATAATTAGTAATTATCATTAACATAATTATTATCATGAATAAGAATGTTTTAAAAAGCTCTCAATTTTAATGTGATTTTTTACTTTACAAACTTTCAGTTCTCTTAGTGAAGATAATATTTAAGACTTAGAGCTTGATAATAAATCTGGTCCTAATCATCTTTGTCAAATCATGGAAGATTTAAGTGATTAGCAAAAAAAGGATGTAAAGGAAATTGGGTTTGGTGGGTTGCTTAATATGAAATTGAAGGATAATATCAGTCACCAGTTGTATGGTTATATAGTAACTCATTATATTCCTAAGGCAAGAAACCTGATTGTTGGTAAAAAAGAATATGCCATTCATGTTGACAGTCTTGGGCATTCTTTTTATTGATATACCTGTGAAAGAGATTTCTAAAAACAAGAAAGGCTTTAATCCTGATAACTATTTGAAATCAGTGTGGAGGAAATTTTTGGGTTTGGATGGAGAAGAAGATTTGGAAAAAGAAAATGAATCTGAAACTAACAAAAAAAAGAAGAGGAAAACTGGTGATGAATCTGAAAAAGGTATTGAAAGCAAGAAGAAGGAATCTGAAAAACAGCTCAAAGTAAGTTAAAGAAGACATATGTCAATTTTCTTACTTATCAAGCATTCTTTGAGAAATATAGGGGTGGAGGTTATGAATTCAAGAGACTCTTTGTTATGCTTGTTGTATCTAATTTTTTTAGCTCCAATTAGTGATAAGTCCCCAAATTTTAACATCATAAAGTCTTTGGAAGATGTACGTTTCATAAAGACTGACAACTGGGCTGGTTATGTGATGGATTGGTTATGTACATCTGTAGTAGAGTTTCAGTCCTTTGTTTTGAAGAAGAAAGAAGGACAAGAATTGAAAAGTAAATCAAAACAAGTAAATGGTTGTTTGGTGTCCTTTATAATTGCTTTTTTGCAAAAGTTTGAGTTTGGGACCACTTTAGATAAGAAGTCATTTGTAATGAATTGATCATGTGAATCTCTGAATGAGCAGATTAATGCCGTTGCTGAAAATATTTATTATGGTACTGTGAAATTGTATCCTCTGACATTACCATTACAGTATGTTGGCAAAAGTGAACAGGAGCTTCTTAAATCTTTTCAGCTGGATAACATTGAGTTTAAACTTGAAGATACTGATGATGATGAAGATTCTGGTGGAAATGTGGAAGGTCAGGATGTACAATCTGCCCCAATTGATTCTGGTGGAAATAAGGAAGGTCAGGGTGTACTATCTGCCCCAATTGAGTTGAAAGCTGATGATGACCAAGCTAGATATGTCATGTACAGAATTCCTAAAGAGTACCCAACTGATGATGAGATTGATAAAATGGATATTATTTAAGTTTAAAATCTCATCTTTTTATTAATTTATTAAAGCTTTTGATTCAAGAGTTCATTCTGTATAACCTGTTATTATGTACTAACTTTTTTTGTCAATAATTCATTGATTAATATAATATGAATCAGTATTAATTGTAGTCAAAAATTAGTTTAGTTTTATCAGGAGTAAGAAATTTGATATCATTGTTAATATGAGAATGTTGATCAAGAATATGACAGTTTTGTTCAGGAATGGAATTATTTTAGTCAGAAAATAACTTATATTTCAATTAGGAATAACATTGTTTAAATCAGAAATTATATTACTTTAAACAGGAATAACATTATTTTTTGTCAGGAATGTGTTTATTTTGTCAGGAATTAATTTTTTATAGTCAGGAAATAAGGTATCAGCTTCAGGAATAATATTGTTTTATTCAGAAATTATTTAATTTTTATCAGGAATTAGAATGTTAAGTCTCTTTTATGTAGGATATGTTATTATATTTAACTCATTCATTCATTATTCTCTTTTTTTTATTAGGCTGTGAAAAAGAAAATGATGAAATTTGGTCGTGACATGAAGATCATATCAGAGAACCAAATTCACTTTGATATTGATTTGAAGGATGAAGCAATAAAAACTTCACAAGAATCTCAATCTCAAGGAGATGATGATATATATTCCAATCCACAGTTCTTAGCTAAAATTGATGAAATAGTGTTAGCTGCTATGAAGAGAAAAAAGTTAGCCACTGAATTGGATAATTTTGATCGTAAGCTTAAGCCTGATGAAATTGTAAGTTTAATTACCTTTATCTTTATTTTTTATATGAAATTAACTTAAGATTTATGTTTGATATTAATGTTTATTTTATACAGGTGAATAATGTTATTGCTGATCTTGATTTGGAGAAAGTCTTAAGTCAAGATATACCTAAAAGTGATAAATTAGAGGATACAAATAAAGAAAAAGAATTCAATGAAGAAGAAGAAAGTGATATATCTGAAACTGGTATGCCTGAACAGATACCAGAGAAAAATGCAGATGTAGAGAAAGTCTTGACTGTTCACCAAGGACCTGTCGCTGATGTTTCACTTGGTGCAGAAGCTGTTGCTGTTGACAAAGGAACTGATGTTGCTGTTTCAGATGTTGTTGAAACTCCTGCTGTAAATTATGAACCTGGCACAGCAGCAGGAGAAAATGTGGTTAGTTCAGTTGGTGTGGAGGGTGTTCTTGGTTCTTCAACATCACCTCCTATGACACCAAGGAAAGCTAGGGGACTCATTGAAGTTTATTCTGATGATTTGAATGATAATCAGGCTAGGATTTTGCAAGAAGGTAGGAGTTTTTCCATGGGAGCTCATTCTATGACAAAGTTTAATTTAATTACCCCTACTCCTCCTTCTCCTACACCATCAAAGGAGCAAAATGCAAAAGTTTTGGTAACTGATGAAAAAGAAAGAAAAAATGACAAAGATGATGACAACACATCTAAGGTCTATTATTTGTATTTTATTTGAATAATAAATTAAAATAATTATTGTATTTAAATCTGATATTTTATATAAATAAATTTATATATTTTTTATTTCTGTTAGACATATGTTTTCAGGTTTTTACTAAATCTGATGATGTAATTCAGAGTAAAGTTACAAAAGAACATCAATCACCTATTGATGTTGTGAATCAGGTAATTTTTTTTCTTATTTTTTTCACGAGTTAAATTATTCTGGTCAAGAATTAGATTTATTTTGTCATATATTATATAAGTTTTGTTAGCAATTACAATATTTTTGTCAGGATTTAAAATATAGTTGTTGGGTTTTTAATTAGATTTACTGTATCAGGAATAATTATATTTTAGTCAGTTATTAGATGTAAATTATAACTCTAGTTGTTCATCAGGAATAAAGTTGTCTCTGTCAGTTATTAGATTACCTCTATCAGTAGTAAGAATACTTTAGTCAGGAATAATAAATTTTTGAAAAGAAATTAGATTCTTTTTTTAAAAATAATACATTCTTAATTAGGAAAAGATTTATATATTCCGCTATCAGATTACTTTTGGCACTAATAAGAATATTCCTATCAGG